GGTAGTTTATAAGAGGAATAGTAGTATAATATCTATAGATTTAAATTATTTATTATTATAGTTTTTATTATATTATTTAATTTCTAATAGATTATTTACTATTTATAAACTAGTAGAAAAAAGAGAGTAATATAAAAGATAAGCTTTAAAAATAAAGTATAAGCTATGCCTATACTTAGCTTACTAAGCCTTAACTAGGAAGCGCTTACTTTTTTTTAGATTTAAATAAAAATTCTTCTCTCTTTTTTATTAAACTTATTAAATACTATATTAAGCCTCTATATATATATAACTTATTTATAACAAATAGCTATCTGAAGCTAAATAGCTTTAAAAGTTATTCATATTTTATACAGTATTATTATATCAAACTATCGGGATATATGGTCACATGCAGTCACATGACACCAGCGCCGATGACTAAGCGATGCAGAGGCATAACCTCCATCGCCTTGTCTTTTACACTTAGCTAGATATATCGAATACAAGTTAAGTCAAAAGCAACATCAACCAGAATCAAGTCTACTACGTAGTATAGAGAAGTGATCACGGATATCAACCTGTGATACCAATACAAACTAATTTATTTTATATAATTCGAGGGATTGATAGCTCTGCGGGAATTATCCTTTTTATATATAAGGTGCGAGTTGGGCAACTAACCGAGCTCTGGGTGCCTGAGGCACGGTGCCCTATCTTTACTCCACTTGTGGCGGTAGAGGGCACTTCTCGAGGACTTGTCGAAGACCCTATTAATAAACGAGAAAATGCTATTTGAATCTTTCTCCTCATATAAAAATGTAGGCAGACTGGGATAATAACTATCTGGGAATAAGTGTACAGTAGGAACAGATTTGGGACCCCTGGCTGGCCCGCTGGGAATGGGGCCTTTTCGGGCTCCTCGTTAAAGTTTGACGATTTATGGTAAGATGGGTGAGCAGATCTAAACAGACTTGAGCCGAAACTGAGCCGGGCCTGATTTGTCCTGAGTAAAGGCGGCGCGGGGTCACAGGAAAGAGAAGGTTGGGAGGGGTCGAGATTCCGGTCAAGAAACACCGGTATTCGCGCGTGCGGTGGGGGGAAGCAACGAACCTTTTTTAGTTGGCAACGAACAGTACAGTAATTGAACTTAAACTTGACTTACACCTGAGATAAACAAGACTGCACGACAGCTGATGATATTGGACCCGAGGACAACAAGGTTCAACAGCGTCGGGACTTTTCCCTTGTGCTTGTGTATAGGAATAGGTATAGGTAGGTACGGTAATAAGGCTTAAAGCAGAGAAGGCAGGCCAGAGCAGAGCAGATAAGGCAGAGAGAGGCTATATGCACCAAGTTCAAGGTTGGTATTGTGGGGTTGAGTCATCGTCACAATAACGAGGACGCTGTAGCTGTGGACGCTGCGTACCGTTGCACTGACTGATAATGGACGCCAATTCTTTTAGAGCCGGGGCCAGAAACGCGTCTGTTGATTGAGGCGAAGCGAGGCGAGGTGGAGGCAGATCAATTGACGACGGCTGCAGATACTGTATCAGAAGCGTGGTGGATACTACTCCTTATAGTTGGACGTGAGGGCGTCAAGGTCTGATTGATTTCTTGAGGCTCAGAATCCATGATGGTGATGCTCAACAGATTTTACAGCAGCGTCGGAACTCGCAACGCAAGACATCCGACAAAATGCCCAGCCTGGCAGCTCTTGGCATACTGTACAAGCCGCCAGCCAACCATACCGGGCTGTCACTAAATACCTATACTCTAGTATCTTCCGAACGCATGCTCCGTGGCACTAATGAGAAAGATTCGGGAGCGCTCCAACGTCTTTCTTAACTGCCGTGATTCATACAGTTCCCTCATACTTGCAAAGAAGGTTGCAAGTGAGGGGCTCGGAACTTAGTGAAGTAATGATTCTCAATTTTCTTCAACTTCGTCTTAAGCTGTTCTACAATTTCTAATCTGTGATATATAGGACAACAGAGCTACAACTCGTATGATATGAAGTCTTCCTTAATATTGGCCCCCGTGAAATACACTAACCTCGCTGGCTTTGGGGGGTGTCTAAAAAAACACAAGCAACGTCCCAAGTACCTCTGATGTAATTCATCCCGAAGCCAATCCACAATACTAGGCTGAAAAGGCTAACAGCTCATATGCTCTTCACATGGAAGATATCATCTGATACTGCAAGAACGTCAGTCAAAAGCCGATGAAATGTAAATTCCCTTGTCTGCCCCCTCGGGAGTTACTGCAAGAAAATGTGGGTAAGTCAATACTTTTGCTTCATAGCCAACGGAAGTAGTTTCAGTAGTCGTAGTGGTGAAAGACATCATAGAGCGTCTAAGAAATGTGTGGCACTTAGGGCAGAGCGAATCGTTCGAGGTGAATGAAGACTGCAGAGTACAAGAGCACAATCCAAATCAATTAGCTCCCAACAGAAGGGGGTTTCATGTCTTTCCAGCGATGGAGAAGCTTTTCGATGAAGTCTCACTCACATCCTTATCATTGATTTCAATGATGCGACCGACAGCGACGTATTAATAGTTGCTTACAATAGATATTCCGATTAACATTGCGCGTACAAATGATCCCTTAGTTGCCAATAAGTCTTCAATGAGGCATCTATGAAAATGACAACTTGAGTTAGATAGATCGTATATTTTCTTATCCACTCGAGCTGCCAGATGGGTGGCATGGTTTGGGTGATGCTTGCTCGTTGTGACCTGCACCTGCCACACGACTTGACGACTGCGCAAGAATCCTAAATTGAGAATCCCAGCCTTGTTGTATCTATCAACCAGTCAAGACCTGACACAGCAATTGGGTAATCACATTCTCCTTGATTCCATAGAAGGACTTGATCACCTGAAAGACATATGCTGCTGAAGGTCATATGACTGGTTCGAGGTAAAAACTCGAAGAATATAACAGAAAACTCTCAGCATCGCAGGTAGACCTTATATAATATAGATGGACTACATCTGGTACGCTTGCGCTTTTCATATGCTTCGCAGAATGTTAACTAAGGATGTTTATTCATTATCACATCACAGAAATAACTATGCTACCGAGAACCCGCTAATCGAAATGAACCATTGTATCGTTTTCTCCAGTTCCTTGCAGTAAAAAGTCGGAATAGCTGCCACCGGGATTATTACTAGCAAATATCTACTTCCCACCAACAACTTTCAGGTCAGACAAAACACAATCCGCCATTGGCATTCACTGTACTACCAGTTGACCATCGGCTGCGCTCCTCGGACAAGAATGCAACTATTTGCGCAATATCATCAACTTCCGCGATCCGAGGCGCAGCTGGGGTTTCCTTCATTTTAGTGTCCCACTCCTCCAGAACGGCTGGATCCGTATCTCTCAACCACATATCTGTTGCAACAGGTCCAGGATTGACACAATTGACAATCGCGCCATATTTCTGCCCTAACTCTAATGCCCAGACCTTTGTGATGCCTTCTAAAGCGGCCTTTGATGCACAATAAGCCGTTGTATATGATCCACCCATTCGGGCAATCACACTTGAAACGTTGACGATCCGGGGTTGTGAGCCAAAGTATGGTGTTGCTGCCTGTACCAAAAATGTCGGGAAGCGAAGGTTGCAATCCAGGATTTTGTCCCATAAGTCGTGTGTCATGTCTTTGAGAAGACAGTCGTCACCAGCCCCTGCGTTGTTGATGATAATGTCAATGTGTTGCCATTTCTCGACTGCTGCTTTGACAATTCGATCTGGCGATGTTCGATCATTGCCACTGGCTTGGACACCGATTGCCTCCACCCCCAATGCTTCAAGTTTAGAGATGGTATCCTTGGCTTGGGTACTGGCGTTATTGTATGTAATGAGCACGTTGGCGCCACGTTTCCCGAGCTCAAGAGCAATTCCTGCTCCGATTCCACGCGAGCCACCAGTAACAATCGCAGCCCGACCTTGCAGAGATTTGGTTGAAGTCATGATGGAGTTTGTGTGTCTGGTGGAAGAAGCATCAAAAGGGAGGTGGAGAACAGGCAATTAGATCTGTCGATGTAAAATCGTCAAGGGGCGCTTTGCCTGCTATAAATGGCCATACCTTCTCATTACCTTTATTCTACAATCACCTTTATCGCCTTGCGCGTTCGAGCTTTTCAAGAAAGGCATCTAATCATGTTCCGAGAAAGGTGGGAAGGCAGTTGGAAGCTGTCAGCGAGGCATTTCTGCCTCGCGATAGGTTGCTTGCCGATGTTTGGCACGCGCTCCGCGCCAACCGGCCCCGCCCCTAGCTAACGGATTCCAGTCCAGCCAACGATCCCTAGTTTCACCCCCTTTATCATGCAGTGGATTTGATTCATGAGGGAATTCGGTGATAATTTCTGTTTCCAGCCCTGATTATGCATATCTTAGGCAAGTATCCGCTATGGTGGTCAACTTATAACTAACTGGTTATCGCAACCTCGGTGTTACTTGCAATGATTCCCATTGAGCACGATGAAGCTTCTCATAGAAACTATAAGCTTCATAAACGCTTTCTTGCTGTATATAACCCACAATTCTTTTTTATTCTTCCTACCTGTCATACTATCTGCGAACACCACATTCTGTAATCGCTTATTCTTCAGAGTTCACCCTTATCCACTCCAACAAGCTTTTGAACACCGTCCAGCCAACACGACAGCGCCCCTACCAAAATCAAAATGGCCGAATACACAAGCCCCCTCAATGCTTTTGGAATCAAGTCCTTCAACTCCCCGGGCCTGGGCGAGAAGCTTTCAAACCTCCTCCACATATCCAGCGCCGTCATCATTCCCTCCAATGTCCGCACCGTTGTGACCTCAGGCACCACAGGTTATGACGAAAACATGTGCTATCCCAAAGATCTGACCGAAGAAATCATGAATGCTTTTGCGAACGTTGAAGCCGCTTTACAATCAGCTGGTGTGAAAGATGGCTTCCGATCTGTATACCAGATGACATCCTATCATGTGACGGATTTTGGTGATGCGGATATGGAAGCGTTGGACAAGGCTGTTGAGAAGTACTTTGGAAAGAACAGGCCAGCTTGGGCAGGAATTGGTGTTGCGGCACTGTATGGAGGGGCAAGGATTGAGATCACTGCATGGGCGGCGCTGGAGCCGGTAACGTGAGGCACTGCATTGTATTGATTTTGGGAGGCTTTATTGTCTTGCTGAGAGGTCCTCATAACAAATGAAACAGAGTACTTCGTACATCAGAACTATATTGCCTGTTCTGTGACACACTTAGCAACACTCTCTCTACTACCAATTTTAAGCTCTAGGTTTAATAGTGTTGGTATCACAAGGTGGTCACTTCACTACAATTGTAGGTCCGTAGTTGAGGTTCTAATGTTCTGATGTTCTGATGTTGGTTGCTTAGCTAGGTCAAATAGGGTCGTTCAGCAGACGTTGAACATGCAAATTCGCCCCGCTTTTGAAGAATTTCCCTTCTACTTCATATAAAAGAGCTTAGTGCTAATTTAGTGCTATTTAGCGTACTAAGGCACCTACGCTAGCGAGTTATAATGAACTGACACTTATAGGGTTTAGAATGTCTAATATTAGTTAAAAGCCCTTTTAAATAAGTGTTATAGAAATCCAAGCGGTATAATTTGCCCCGCTGTTTATGCTTACTACCTGGCCTGACAGGGGTGACTGGGCTAGCATGTGGATTTATGCCAGGCGGACATTCACCTGCGGCACGGTGTAAAGGTACACCGTTCTGTATTTTTGCGCTAGCGTCCAAGGGCATACGCACAGCTTCTGCATCACCGCAGCTTGCGGCCGACTCAAGAGCGGAACACGAGTTGGTATCTGAGCTGGTTATGCTCTAAATAAGAGGCGCCAGGCAGGCAAAATTCTACGCTAGCAAAATATGCTAAACGATCGTATACATAGTGTTGCGAAGAGGTAAAACCCCTACGCTTACGTAATCTACGCTAAGTCACATGACTTCAAAGGTTTCCCAGATCCCAATATGTCCCGACACCTTATATAATTAATAACTTAGCAAACAAAACTAAAAAATATCTAAGGTAAGAAATAGATATAAGTAAGAATATATAGTTTTAAAACTAGATATCTTCTGCCCCTAATAATGCTATACCTAATAAGGGCCGCTTGAATATCTTAATATTTAGACATTAATCCTAGTGAATATATTAGTAGAACTAGTACGCTTTAGAAGAAGGTTTTAGAGGCTATATCAAGGATATTTTAGGGTGGGCTAGCAGGGGTTAAGGGCCCAAGAATAGAACCTCTAATTTACTTATTAAATTGGTCTTATGGTATAATTTATTCTAATAGACGCAAGCTTTTCGAAATCCAAGAAACAAGAATGTCGAAATTCTCGATGCATAGTCCCCATTCACTTCTCCGTCAGCATTTCTGTTCGCCATCGGAAACAGATCGAGCAACATCCGCCAAAGCTACGGGTACTACATACAACGTCCTCGAATGAAAAACCCAGTTAATTCCACTAACAAGAATAACACCTGAAAACACAGCGACACTATAGTTGAATGTTGTGCCAGCAACAGGTAGGTACAGTGGAAACATCAACCACACGAACTCATATGCCATCCATATGATAGCAATTGTATTGCAAACGGGCCCAAACCTTCGCAGATTGAAGTAGTGAGTTCCAGGTAGCTTTAGGCGCCTGTTGATCATGAGACAGGCAATTGGGATGGCGTAGGATGAGTATATGCAAACGATAGAAGCTCCCAGAATGGCGTTAATAGCAGTCGTAGATCCAAGCTGGATGGTGCCCAACACAATAATGGCTGCGACACAAAAGATTAAAGAATTTACTGGGAGCTTCGTGTTCTCATTGACACGAGCAAACAATCTCGAGAAGGGTACGCCTCCTTCTCTGGCAAATGACCACCAGACGCGGCTAAAGGTTGTAACGGTACATGCTGTTGCAGAGGCGAGGGTGATGATGAATACCAGAATGCCGATGATTGTAAGGGGCAATGAGTCTAGAGCGTCTAGTAGGACTTGGGCGACGGGTTGCCCACCAATAGGCGCAAGCAAATTATCAGGTTTGACGTTGCAGAACATGTAGACTAGTATCATGGGAAATCCAGTTACAGCAGACAATAAGGCGTTTCCTAACATGACCTGTGGAACTTGTCTAGACGGATTCGGGAGTTCATCAGTTAAATGCGCAGCACAGTCGAAGCCGTTTACTGCTACTGCGCCGGGGAGCAAACCCAGCATAAACACAGTGCCATCAGAACTCCATCCGGTGAGGTTGACGAAATCAGCGAAGACAAAATGGGCAGACTGCTTCGGATGAGTCCGTACAAGTAGTACAATAAGAATAAACAAAGCACCTGCGTTGATATAATACACCATTCCTTTGAGAAAGTATGGAAAGAGTCGGACCAGCGGCCAGTTGAGGAGTAGACCGAGGAGGGCGAAGGCAACATAGACCAAATAGTAGTGCCATGGCTGGACCACAAAAGTAGACTTGCAAACACAGACAAGTGCCCAGGTCAATTGAGCTGTGAGCAGACTTGCAGAGGCAGACCAGAAAAACCATGCAGCGGACGTCAAATATCCAACCAGGTAGCTCAAAGGACGCGCAATTTTCTTGGGGGCTAGGATTGCGGTCCAGAAGATTTGTCCTAGCATGACGAGAGTAAGCAGTGGACTCGCTAAAATCTCACACCAATTTGCGGCTTGTGAGCTTACCAGAGGAGTGTGGGTAGGAAGATGCTATCTCGGCGAGCGAGGCGCAGACCAAGAGATTCAGCGTCACGGCGACGAGATAAGCATAAACAAAAACAGGACTTCCACCCACGCCGATGACCACAGAAAGGTAGGTGCCAATAGCCAGAGGGGTGCAAGTGATCGAAGTGTTGACCCCGAGCGTGCTCATTAAGCTGAATCGTTTCTCCAAAGCATGAGAGTGGTCAACGACTTCGCCAATCGAATAGTCAGGACCAGAAATGTCATCCGCTCCGGCGCCTTTAGGAGCCATATTTTCGTTGACTTCTCCCATGGAATGACGGCCTCGAAAAGAGTACGAACGCAAGTGTAGCAAATTTTGCAGTATTTGTTTGATTAAAAGAAGAGTTTGAGTTGATGCACTTGGCAGGTATGGAGACCACTAAGAACACCGAGACCTTTATGTAAAAGAAATGAGACGGACGAACTATGAATCCCTTTATCTCTATCTCTGTTAGTTTTCAATTATAGTTTTCAATCATAAAGAACTCGCTGTTGTCTTCGCAGCAGTCCTTCGAAGGCTTGATACTGCGATAAGTAGTCCTATCGCACATAGTGGGGATGGGTGAGAGTAAGCCATATCAGTCGACCTTGATTGTACCGTCAAATTGCCTTGTCATTCGGCTCCAGATCGAGAGCAGTCGAAACCGTTTGCGAGCTCTGAATTGGTGAGGGTGGATATGGCAGCCGACGGCGAGATTGCGAAGTGAGAAAACGCCACAGATAAAGGCCTGGCGAACACTAGAGAAAGTCCAAAAGTGGACCATATCGGGCAACCGACAGCCAGATACACTAATAAAAAGCGATAGTGGTGAAGCGTAGTTAAGTTCATCTCCCTCTTTACATCGTTAATTCCCGCCTCGCTGTTACTTACATATTTCGATCCCTGAGCTCCCTATTGCTTCTCGTCTCGGAGTGAGATTCCAATAGAATTTTTATTCATCAATCTTCCATCATACCGCTAAATCCCGAATCAAGAATCCTGCTACTCTGGGTCTCGCTGTCGCTGGTCTCTTATCTTTGCAAAGTGTTCTGCTCATGCGAAAAGCCCGTGAGTGTCTCGAGATCCCTGCGTGAACCGATCGCAAAGATTAATCTTTCAATCTAGCATGGCTCGTTCGCCTAGGATCCGGCCAAAAGTGAAGAGGACCAAGACGTTCACTGGATGTTGGACTTGCCGTTCTCGCCGAGTGAAATGCGACGCAACCAGACCAGTCTGCCAAAGGTGCATCAAAAGTAAACTTTGTTGCGCCGGATATCGAATTAGACTGGTATGGGGCCAGGATGCTATATGCACTGAGGGTGTGCAGCCATCGACGCTCGATGGTCGAATTCTCTTCAGCAAAGAGGACATGAGCAATCCGACTTTTAGTGATGACTACATTAACTCTATTCTTGATCGCTTAGAATATTTCGAGGAATATGCTCAAGTTGGTCTCGGCAATGAGATCAAACTAGGCCCATTCACAGTGTTCACAGGCTCGTCGGTTCTTTCCACGTCAACTAGGTCCTCAGACTGTGGAGATGTTGAAGACGACGAAGTGATCACCACTTTTAGTGAAGGAATATCCGCGAGTACGCCTGAGGAGAAGAATATTTTAGAACCCATGCCTTCAACTCAGACTATGTGCCGTTACAAGGATCAGCCAACACCTACACTCATGCTACAGCAACGGCTTCTTCCTTTCCTTAAGCCTTTCCTGTCCTCGTCGTCAGTCACAGAGCGACGGCTTTTGCACTTCTGGGTTACTTCTGCAAGCTCAATCATGACATGCACTGATCATCCCGACAACCCCTTCAGACAAGTTGTCATACCAATCGCTTTGGAAGCTGCCGCGTCTTCTCACAAGCTACCTGGTCATGCAGCATTGTTGCATATCATCTATGCCTTCGCAGGTTTCCATCTCGCACAACTAGATCAGTCTGATCAGAATAGCAAGGAGATTGCCACGAATCATTACCATGCCAGCCTACGACACCTTTGCAAAAGTCTGACTGATCAGAATCCCCACAAGCAATACGATGCTATCCTAGCAGTAATAATCCTTGTGATATCAATAGATACACTCAACGGCCAGTCTGGCCAATGGCAAATTCATATGCGAGGAGCAAGAGAATGGTTGAGGGAAGTTGGTGACGTTTGGAGTAACCACGCATACGGGCATGTCATGTACCAGATGTTTGAATGCTTGGAGATAATGGGTCATACACAGACCCCCCATATCCAGCTTCCGTCTAATCTCACGCACAAGCAGAAACCGAATATTGACAAACTGTTCTCAGCCACTAGCGATGTCAGTGATAATCCTTACTGTCTTGACAAATTCTTTGGGGTGACGAAGCCAGTCCTGAAGATGATTATGGATATCAACAGGCTCCTTGGCTCTGAACCTACCCGGGAAGAGCTCGCTATCATCGAACACGAAATACTCCTTGCCAACCCTAGCACTACTCGATTTCCAGGTCCCAAAGATATAGAGCAAATCACAAGGAGTCATGCCTGCGCACTCTACTACTCTGCCGTAATTTATTACCAGCGATCGATTCTACGTCAGCCGTTGAACGAGATACAACATTTGGTAGAACAGAGCTTATATCACTTGGAATCGTACACAAAACACACAGAACACAAAACTGTCGCTGGTCTCTTCTGGCCAGTCTGCGTCACGGCATGTGAAGCAGAAGATAGAGAGCTTCGTCTTCGATGTGTAGAAATCATGGATAGGAAGGTGAGGCATGGAATTGGAGCGATATCCCAAGTGAAGGAGTTAGTCTTAGAAGTCTGGGGACGCAGAGATAGTAGTGACTGTGGTCAGAAAATATTATGGCAGGACGTGATGCAGGATCTGGGAATTGATATACTACTTTGCTAACGACATTGGCCCCGCCTTGCCGATACGAAGAAGCCAATACGACACGTCTTCTGAACAATCTTTCCCAGATGTTCGTTCAGCATAAAACCCATGATGGAAGTGAGTGGGAGCCAGAATGCTTCCAAGGAATTCTAGTTGAACCTTGTGCTCTGGACGGTTACAGCACTACAAAGCAACCTCAACGTTCATCATCTTCTCTGCCTCAATCAAAATTTCCTCCACGTTCCGGAACTTCAGGCCCTTGAAGTACTTATCAGCCTGACGTTTCAATTTCTCCTGTGGAAGAAAGCCAGAGCCAGAGATTGACCAGATTTCATATTGAGCAGCAATGACTTCATCCTCGGACCTGGCGTCAGCGACCTGCTTCTCTAGAGCTTCAACCGATCGATGGCTCTTCCGTAGTCTATGACCACGCCCTTCAAGTAATCTGGCAACGTCATTCCATGTGGTCGTCTCGCCGCAGACATACGTGGTGTTTTCCCAGGGATCACAGTCCGTGATGAATAGGCGCGAAATCGCCCTTGCAGCATCTCTTGCGGATGTAAATGCAATGGGTTCCGTCCCTGTGCCTGGAATTTTCAAGGTGTTATTCTGATAATTGAGAGGATGATAGTCGCCGATGTCTTTAATATACCGCTGATTTGCGGGAATCAAATAATCTGTCAACCATCCGATGTTGAAAAGCGTCCACATTACTTCCGTCTGCTCCTTCAGGGCATTACGCACTGGTTCATGATTCGCGAAATAGAAAGCCGGTTGGTCAGGAAAATCGTCAATATTTCCGCCGTACTCTGATGGAATATAACGCTTGCATTTTGGAGACTGTCTGCATGCTTCGAGTAGTGCGACATGGACATTGACATTGTTCATCGAGTAATCGAGGAGTGCAGACACGAGACCTTCACAGTCATGGAGTTCTTTGACCAGTGAAGGAATGGAATAGTCGGTCATCCGAAAAGTTAAGTCTGGGCGATTAAACCATGGTTTTGGACTGCGTGATAGAACAACTACTTCATGCTTCTGTGCAAGAAGTTCCTCGACGAAGTAGCGGGCTAAGTCCCCGGCACCTGCAATTGCCACCTTCATGATATATACTGGTTGGTGTGTTGACTTGCTATCTTTGTTGCTTCGCTGGTAACGGGACGGTAAGGTGAAAGTGAATTTAGGACCTCTTCCAAATGTGAAGGAGAAGGTGAAGAAAGAGACATACGGGGGGCATTTTGATGTGATATGGTAAAATTAGTTTGATGATTAGAAATCGAGTTCGATTGACAAGAAACAATTATTTCCACTGTTGCTTTGAAACGGCTTAGCAATCTTTGTTCTTTGTCGCATGATGCTCGGAGTTGGTGACTCCAAACTAATTTCTTGTCTCGGAGAAGCATTATTGATGCTAAGGTCCTCGGCATCGGTTGTCCAGCTGTTGCCTCGCTATGACTTGCGAAACACTTAAAGCAGCTAGAAAGTAGCAAACGATCGAACGTCATTGCTACAGCGCTGCGGGAACTAACGCCGATGCTGTCAAATGTAAGTCACAGCGAAGCCCCAAGGCGATGGATCCGATAAGGCTGATCGTTATGAGCTGCCCCAACAAACCTCGGCGTCCGTTACTACCATAGATAATACCTGCTTTCAAGTAGACAGACTACAGTGGGGTGCAAAAAGTTTGAACTTATGTCTTTGAGATTGATGCTAGAGAAGTCAAGCTGTTACTTAACAAAGCAAGAAGGGGCATAAATCTAACGCAAATAAGTCAAGCGGTTACTTTTCTAAGTTAGCCTCAAAGACATGGGTTTAAACTCCTTGCACCCCACTGTAGGTGTACTTACACCTATCTACATCCTACTAATACCCACCAGTGATAAAAACAGTTGTTTGAATTCTTTTGTTACAATCGAAGCAAAGTCTACGCATCGAACGTTTCAAAGAGAACACGGTATTGAACAACATGCCATCCGCCACTACCAAACCGGCCCTTCGCCGGATTCCTGCCAAATCTTCCACGGAGAAAATTCTCAAAATTATCTCGGAAGACGGCGGGGTCATTCTCGAAGACTTCCTTACAGCTGCTCAGGTTGAGTCCTGGAATGCAGAACTTGATCCAGCACTGGATAAACTTGCAGCGGGTTATGAGGTTCCCGACAACTTCGAAAGGGCTGAGTTCCACGGCAACAACACAAAACGCCTCACAAATATCGTCACACACAGCAAAACGTTCCGCGAGCAACTTCTAGATAAAGACAGCGTGCACGAGATCGCGTCTCGAGTATTCGAAGCGGAATCTGGCAGTTATTGGCTAGGTGCAGCGCAGGTCATCGAGATCGGTCCAGGAAATCCAGCACAACCACTTCACCGTGACTTGGAAAATCACCATCCTTTCGTTACTATGGGACCGGCAGGTCCAGAGGTCGCTCTCAACTTTTTGATTGCCCTCTCAGACTTCACTGAACGCAACGGAGCGACACGTGTTATTCCGGGCAGTCACAAGTGGCCTGATTATAACGACCGCGGAAATCACGATATGACGATTCCAGCTGAGATGAGAAAAGGCGACTGTCTCTTGATTAATGGAAAGGTGTGTCACGGTGGTGGCCATAACCAGTCCACAGACTTTTATCGACGCGCATGCGCATTCACCTTCCAACCTGGATTCCTTACTCCAGAGGAAGCGTACCCATTTATGATCGATATGGAGATGGTCAAGGCAATGTCTCGACGAGCCCAGCAGATGGTTGGATTTCGATCAGTGTATCCTAAAGGCTCCCCGGGGTTGTGGTGTATTGACGTGAAAGAGCTTGGAGCGCAGATTGGACTTTGAAATGGAAAGATAATGTTACTTTTAGACAGCTTGCTGGGAAATACTTAAGTCCGATCATACTCCAATAATAGCGAATGAACATCTACGACTGGTGACTGTCAAATTGTGTGTTGCTGTACATTGATTGCCCTTGTCCTTATATAACCATTGCCCAGGATCGAGTTTTGTACCGTCATAAGTGCAATTGAGAAATCGCTTTCAGGGTAGCTCTGTCAATTTAGCTTTCGGTAAATGACTGAAACCGCACCTATTTTATTGTTTATTACTTAGACCGCGCTCTCTACTAGAAGGCCGATGTAGTCGCAGGCGCTAGTGCTATTTTAGGCTTAAGAAGGGGCATATAGGGACGGAGCTTTTTTCTTCCGGCTCAGTCAAAAGCGTGTGATGCAGAGAATATGTGCGATGCAGAGAATGCGTGCAATATAGAAGCGTAAGCTGAGGATATACCACGCGTTTTTGGTAGGAGTGCGGTCTAAGTAATAAACAATAAAAAAGGTGCGGTTTCAGTCATTTGCCGTTTAACTTTCAATATGATACCTAACTCTGCTCCTATTCAGTGATACAGGGTTGGCATTCCCAGACAGATTTGCAATCTGCTCGTATCCGCCCATGAACGTTAATGTTGAATACAAATAGAACCGCATAGGCATCTTATGTGTGAGTTAAAGTAGAAGGCTTGTTTCTTGTTTATTGTATGCTTTAGTGTGACTTTTAAGAAGTATATGTAATACACTGTTTCCTTGCAAAATCAGACAGCTATACTTTAATACATATCTCCCAGTGGCTGCTCCCTTCCAAGAGCAGCCAATGGATGGCCCTCCTTAACCCATCCAAGGAACGGTGCACTGAGATTGTATCCAATGAGTTTAAGCATCTCGTCGCTATAGAATTGATTGAGAACTTCTGGTTTGTTGTTCAAGTACTGGTTTTCTTCCTGTTGAGGGCATTAGTCTAGGTTACATTCAGATAAAGGAAAGACTTCTGTTCTTACTTGACGTAGATATCCCTTCGTCATAAAACAACTATACACCAAGCGTTCTTGATCCTCAGTCGTGTTTGCCGATCCACCATGGTAACATGACGCGAGCATAATGAACCCATCTCCAGCTTCCAGCTCAGCATAGACAGCCAGTTCTTCCGATGGTGGAGTGGCATGATCCCAGAGATGAGACCCTGGAATGAATCGCGTGGCGCCATTCGCCTTGGAGGTCTTCTTTCCCCCAACGAAGAAGCCAATGGCGCTATCCTGGCCCATGGTGTAATCAAGCGAGTCCTTCCGCTGGAGAATACGATGGTGTACCATGTCATCGCGATGTAAAGGCTGCGGAGCAGCTCCAGGGCCAATCGAAAAGACAATAGTGTTGTGAAGTTGCGGGTGCGATGTGCTGGTCTCGAAAACATCACCGACCCAATTCTGAACCGTACTGGACAACATGGTCTCGGAACAGTCTTGCAAGATCTTGTTGTTCACTAGCTTCTCCATGAAGATCTTGGATTTTGATGCTAGGCCATTGACTCGACGAGTTTGAATGGGAAAGAAGGTACCATCCCAAGGTTTGTCTGCCGTGATGTGCTCTCTCGTGTCCTTCTCGATTTCAGCCAAAACATCCGGAGTGAGTACGTTTTTAATAACACATCCACCGGCTTTTATCAGTGCTGCGACAATATCTTCATTTGTCACAGTAGCACTATCGAAGCTCTTCACTTCAGGTAACGGTCTGTCCCGGTCATCGTTGAAAGCCATTGTCCGAATCTCTGTAGGAATAGATTTGGCGTGTCTGTAATAAGTATGTACCGCAGTCGTCGGGAATATAACTTTAAATCTTTTCCTGTGGTTTCTGTACTGTATTTATTCAAGATTGTGGTGCGTCGGTGGTGATCGAATCCGCTACTAACCGGCGAAGCAGTGTCTCGCTGTCACCTTCCTCACCTCAGTTTGTTCCGCTGGTCCAACCCTTATCGACCTAGAACTTCGCTCCATTGCCGTAACGCGTTCAGTTGCCTATCGCTGTACATAAGAATCCTATTGGCAAGGCCCGGTGAGGAAAGCATCGCCGGTGTTTTACGAATTGCGTCCTTTTCCTTATCTGATGCGATGGAGAGCTTCAAGGGCACTATCTCAACATACCACGATGTATTGTCCAACGCCTCGAAACTGGTCCAGCCTCCCTCGAGCTTATTCACCGTGTGAAATCCTGATAGCCTTATCTCGGGCTTAGTCACCACTTGCAAAGGAGATGCCAAACATGCTTTCAAGCGTCAAAAATTGGGTGATAACATCGATGCTGCAGAGTCTTTTAGACTCGTTCAAGATTCATATACAGGCGACGAAAGGTAGCAAGATTCGGAAGAAATTCACTCTACTATAGGACCGAAAAATAAAATAAAGCACGATTGATTAACTAGAGGGAGACCAAGAACGTGACTGAGTATTGTTCAGAAGTCAGGTAACACTTTTTAATACTTCCTTAAAGTAAAAAAAAAAAGCTTTATAATAAATGCATAGCGAATAGGCTCTATTACTCTATAAATAAACACATTCTGAAAATAAAGCATAAGAAAGTTTATACTTTTTAGAAGAGTGATAGGAAGTTAAATAGTCACTTGCTTTTTATAAAGAGGACCTAGACGCTTTATAGCATATCTGCTAGTTAAGAGACTAGTAGAAGAATATTAAATATTAAATAAGTATTATATAAATTACTACTTTTACTCTTAATACTTATAAGAGGCGAGCCTTAAAAGTAAAGCACAGGCTATACCTATACTTAGCTTATTAAGCCTTAACTAGAAAGCGCTTACTTTTCTTTAAATCTAGATAAAAATTCTTCTCTCTCTTTTATTAAACTTATTAAATACTATATTAAGCTTTTATATATATATAACTTACTTATAATATTAAGTTTAATTAATTATAGATTTATAGCTATTTATTAGCTTTATATTAAACCTTAGATTAATA